ATGTCTCTTTTATTCCTTTTGCATATTCAGTTGGGAAGGGATTCTGCAGCTTGCCACACTACAAAAATACAAATCATCACACCCAGTCTATTGTTTTTCAGGCTTGGATAGTCTTACAGTTTAGAACAGCATATAAACATGTATGGAATGATATTAATATAATGTCCAAATGACTTGCAAACCATCACAAAGAACTACCTATTGCTGTTTTAAGAATCACTGTTGCAAAATAGTTTTTTTATTGGGCGATCTGCTTCAGTTGCCACAAAATTTTCATTTAAGATACTTCAGATTTTAACATCAAACCATAGACATAAATACATAAAGGCTAATTATCAAAAGATAATGCTTTTTAAAATGATTATTAGTTTTTTGATGACTCCTTTGTAAGCTTGAAGGTGAGTTTTCATGATAGATTGGCTAAGAATACAAGTCATGTCACCATTGCACGTAGTCCTTGACTTACGACCACAATTGAGCCCAACATTTCTGTTGTTAAGTGTGACATTTGTTAAATGAGTTTTGCCCCATTTTATGACTTTTCTTGCCACAGTTGTTAAGTGAATCACTGCAGTTGATAAGTTAATAATATGGTTGTTAAGTGAATCTGGCTTCCCCATTGACTGTGCTTGTCAGAAAGTTGCAAAAGGTGATCACATGACCCTGGGACACAGCAATGATCATAAATATGAACCAGTTGCCAAGCATCTGAATTTTGATCACTTGATCATGGGGATGCTGGAAAGGTCATAACTATGAAAGACGGTTATAAGTCACATTTTTCAATGCCATTGTAACTTTGAATGGTCATTAAATGAACTGTTGTAAATTAAGGACTATCTGTACCTACTTATTTTATTTCAGGATTTCATTTTTAGCTTATTTATACCTTGTACTGATTTTAAGGAAGCCTACCTTATATTAGTTTTCATGTTCAAATCCCTGGCACTTAGATTCACCTGTTATTACCATTCTTGTCTTTTGCCTGTACATCCCCTTGCAAATTAAGTCAGCTATGTTCTGCTTGCTCTCATCCTACCCAGAATTAGATGCTTCAGGCTGATCTATCTTCTCTGACCATTTAGGGAGGGAGGGAGAGAAAACAATGCTGGAAGAAATTCCAGAAAAATAACTCTGTTCCACCCACCTTTAGAATCATCAGTCTAGCAATATTCTTCAGAAACTCATATTTCTGCATTGTGAACACAGGGGACCTACTTATTAGTTAAATTAGAGAGCAAAGTAATGTATATATTACATAGTGCTGAAAGAATAAGACAGAAAAAGAGAGTTGAGTGAAGAACAGGTCAGAGGAAGGAAAACAGGAGAAGGGCCAACATCTCAACTGAATCAAAGATACTGATTCTCTGCTTGATAGCCTTTAAAAAAAATCATGCTAGGTGAGCAGGTGAATAGGATTCTTGGCCCATGAATGTTTCAGAACAGTTGTATTAATATTTATAGCAAATATTTCTAGAGCTCTAAATGGTTTAGTAATTAAGGAATTGGAAAATCTAGGTTCTTGTCTCAAAGTGTTGCAAGGGAACATAGCAGGGAGAGCTGTGCAGGTTGCCTTGAAACACTGAATGAAATGTGGGATGAATTTTTAATTAAATATATGACCAGTTAAATACCCTCCTTTTGAAAAATACTTAAAAAGACTTGGCTTTTCCCCCAGGCACTGGAATCTGATGAGGTGGATGAGAGGATTTAATGAGATGTTGGAAGCCTAATTTTGGTGCCAGGTTTTTAATGTTTATGGTTTTAATAGGTATAAGTATTCTGTTTTTTATTGATTGGAACCTGCCCAGAATTTGATATAAAATGGGCAGCTATATAATTAATAGTGCATTTATTTTATGTGTTTATTTTATATTTATGTGCTTTCCCCCCAGATAATAAAAGTTAATGGGTATGTGTCCTTAATTTCTTGTTAGTAATTTGTATAAGTATTGCCTAGATCAGGGGTCCCCATGTGCCCACCGCTCACACAAATGAAGCTGTCCATGTGTGCGTGCCTGCCTCTCACACAAACCTATCCCCTCTTCCCACCCTCCCCTGCGCCAGGCTGCCAACACGGAAAGATTGGGGAATGCTGGCCTAGATATTATGTATTGCATAACTAGCAAGATAATCCTAGAAGTTAATATTCCTTTTATTTAAGGCATTTTTGTACCTAAAGTGCAATTGTACCCAGTTACAACATAGTATAGTAGTTTAAATGTTTTCATGTAATTGAATGTGCTGTTCTTTTATGGTGGTGACATTTTACCTGAATCTAAGCAAGGTGATACATGACCAAATGGCTGCTTTTGTGTTCATTTTTATTGTGATAGGAACTGCTGGACAAGTACTTAATAGCTAACGCAACTAATCCAGAGAGCAAGGTCTTTTATTTGAAGATGAAAGGAGACTATTTCCGTTATCTTGCAGAAGTTGCAAGTGGAGATGACAGGAAACGTGAGTACTGTGTTCATTTAAACCTATAGTTTTCAGTTAGAACACGTGTATAAAGCCATTATAAAAGGCAGGAGCATTATGTATTATGTCCTGCTTGTGTGGATAATAGTTCCGACTAATTTTTTAGGTTGCTTTCACTTATTTTTCCTTTTTCTTCACAGAAACAATAGAAAATTCACAGGCAGCTTATCAAGAAGCATTTGACATCAGCAAGAAAGAGATGCAACCTACACATCCAATTCGTTTGGGTCTAGCGCTTAACTTTTCGGTGTTTTATTATGAGATCCTCAACAATCCAGAATTGGCCTGCACATTGGCCAAGACAGTAAGTTTTTTTTTGTATGTCTGTGCATGCACGTAAAGGAAGAGGACTTTGTAGTCTCAACTGCTTATTTTCTTAAATGAGAATTGTATGTAGAGAACATAGAGTTCTTGTAAAATATAGTCTAGAGTGATGTATCTTTCCCCATGATTTGCTGTTACATGATGAAACTTGAGAGACCCATTAACAGTGAAGTGTACTAAAGGGCACTTAATTGTTCTTCACAGATTTTCACTTAGTGATTTCAAGATGCAACTGCCCACTGTATAAGGTTGCATCTTTGCCTTCATTGATCACAGTGAAACTTAATTTGAGGGAACAGTACTTAGGATTGATTGCTCTCTTTTCCCCTGTTGTCTAAAGTATGTATGATAAATCTTGTTCACCAGATGAAAACATTGTGGCTAAGCATCCCTTCCTTTTTTTGCTTGAAAGCTTCATTAAACAAGTTTTGTATTAACAATTATTATTGTATAATATATAATTATATATAATATATAATTCAGAGCAGTTTTCATTAAAGAAATAAGATACACCTATGAAGAAAGCTGATTTAGCTTTCTATACAAATGTTTACTTTGGGGAAGTCTTTTTCCTGAAATGAGTAAGACTGGTTTTTGTGTCTCTTACAGGCTTTTGATGAAGCCATTGCTGAACTTGATACACTGAATGAAGACTCATACAAAGATAGCACACTCATCATGCAGTTGCTTAGAGACAACCTCACAGTAAGATACACCTTTTAATTTTCTTAGAATAACTGTGTTTAAAATCTGAGTTTGCAACTCTTAATTGTGATTCTTTGGAAAATACCTTTAGGAATAATAGTTGCAAGCCAAGGCTGTTTGGTATAGGAATAATAGACATACATTCTTGATATTGTCTTTCTAAGACTATTTCCCTTGGCTAAACTTAAATAGAAATGCATATATGACTTATTATCCAAGTAATATTAACAGTTTCACATGATGTAGGTAAAGCTATTTAAAGGAGAATGAACTCATCATTTAAAAAGCCGGTTATCTTTGCCATTGCTTATTTACTCTGCCATTTAGAAGATTTCAATATGTGTGTGTGTGTGGGGGGGTGTCAGGTTGTTTGAACAGTTATTCGAGGGCTGAAAGGCAGAATAAGTGTATATTTAAACTGAATGTGCTGTACTTCAGTCTGGTTGTTTTTCTTTCTAGTTATGGACATCAGACAGCGCAGGAGAAGAATGTGATGCTGCGGAAGGTGCAGAAAATTAAGTTGAACCTGGAGTGTCATTCTTCTCAAGAAATCTTTTTACACGTCTCATTCCTTATAGCTCCACTTGGATTTCCTATAGCAAAGAGAACCCATCCATATGTATGGAAATCAATTTATAGTCTTTTCACACTGCAGCTTTGGGAAAAATCCATTCCTTGATTTGTGTTTGTCTTGGCCTTCCTGGTGTGCGGTTACTGCTGTAGAAAAGTATTAATACTGGCTTAAATTTCATATAAACATAAATAATTTCCAAACACTTAAGTAGCAGACTAAAGTTATTTGGTATTTTTTTAAAGAAATCTGAACCAGGTCCTTCAAGCAATTGTTTTGGTATTACAGAAAAAACACAAATATTTGAGTAACGCAACTAAAAAGTTTTATGCAGTACAATTCTTCACATTCCCTTTTTATTCAGGGGTTACTTGGTTTGATTTTTACATGCTATTGTTAATTCCTTTCTGTAGGATATGGGAGTATTGGGCTACATAGAAAGCATAGTAGTGTGGCTTCCTACATATGTGTACAGCAGGAGCTATTGAGTGTTTAAATACAGGGACTCTTCTTACTCTTCAGTTGCTGCTGTCCAATTGCTATCCCCTCCCAATAAAATATCACACTCCTGCCTTTGTAGTTCTGGTATTCACTTGATTATGTCTTAGAAGCAGCATGTTACTGCCAGAAAACAGGGAGTGCCTTTTTGGCAGACTAAATTGCATGTCATTTCTTAACACTGGAATGGGGAAAGTGGTCACATGTCCAAGTATAAAACTTTTCCATGCAGATTTGTGCACATGTATGAAGGTGTCAAGTTCGTCCAGTGATTTGTTCTGTAGGTAGATGGACCACTATTGTGTGTTGCTAATCATTGATTGTAGTCCCAAAAAAGCCTTGTGAAAATGTTAATGCCCTATGTAACAAAATAACATTAAATAAAATTACATTTTATAAACCATAAAATGTTGCTTTGTAACATTTACATGCAGCTTTTCTAAAAATATAATTATTTGCTTAACAAGCTGGACTGCTGAATTGAAAGTAAAGACAAATTACCTATATTGAATCCTTTTCAAAAAGTCTGGGGAGAAAATAATTCAACAGCCGTATGTTTAATGATCTCAATCTTTGTTAATCTCAATATTTTGAGAATGTTCTTAGGAATAGTCATTGTATCCATTTACCTTTTATTTATTTAAAACACTTTTTTAGCCGTTCATCTTGTAACCCGTTCTGAATGGCTTCCAATCAAAAGTAGAAAGAATATGCAAAACCACATTAAAACTATAAAACCAAGACATTAAAAACCAACAAAAACCTGGCACCAAGTGAAGCTCATGATGTGCAGTCACCTAATAATACCCTAGCACTTGGGGAAAGAAAAAAACAGGTCTTCAAAACTTTACGCAAGGTTTGGAGGGTAGAGGCTTGCCTAACTTCTATGGTGCACAGTGTTCCATAGGGCAGTTGGCTGTCCCAGAAAAGGCAGGCTTGCTAGCTCCCACCAGATGACAATATTTAGGGGAAGGAAACGAAAGCATACCCACCCTATCTGACCAGGTAGGACAGGCCGATGTCCTGTAGATGCCTCCATATAACCTGGCCCTGGGACATATAGGGCTTTAAAGGGGAAGACCACCTTGAATTGCACCCAGAAAAAAACTGAAAGCCCACACAGCTCACACAGCAGAAGTCTTACATGGGCAAATCTAGGGGTTCCCATTACTTGTGCATTGCTGCATTCTGGACCAGTTCATTTTCTGGACAGTCCGGTATACAGGTCGGCAACCTGCGGCTCCAGAGCCGCATGTGGCTCTTTGAGCCTTTCCCCTGCGGCTCCCAGCCTCTTGCCATTTGCAGAGAGAGACAGAGAGAGGCACTTGCCCCTCCCTGTGTGTGTGTGTGTGTGTGTGTGTGTGTGTGTGTGTGTAAAAAAGCTGAAAAGCTTATTGGGCGGAGCTCCTCCCTTTGCTGGGTCTGCAGGAAGCAGGAAGGGAAGGAGAGAGCTAGCTAGCCCAGCTATGCTGACTCAGGAATTCTGAGAGTTGAAGTCCATGAGTCATAAAAGAGCCGAGGTTGCCTACCCCTGAGCTTGTTGGAGAACAGCTTGAAGCCAGCTTGCCAGGTGAGCAGAAGATCGGAGGGGGGGGGGGGGGAGAGAGCAGAGAGAGACAGCCTTTTGACATCTAAAATGAAGATAACACTGCATATATACTCTTACCTTTAATATACACACACACACACCTATAATAAAGGTAAAAAAGGATATATGCAGTGTTAGCTTCATTTTAGATATCAAAAGGGTTTTGCAGCTCCCAGTGTTTTGTTTTCGGTGGGAAATGGGTCCAATTGGCTCCTTTGAGTGTTTTGGGTTGCCTACCCCTGGTCCAGTAGAATGCATTGCAGTAATCCAAACTGAGTAACCATGAGCAAGGCTTCCAGGGAAAGGTGCAATTGGCACAATAGACAAATCTGCGAAAGCCCCCCCCTCCCCAAGCCATGGCTGCCACCTGCTCGAGCAGGAGCTATGAGTCCAGGTGGACTCCTAAATTGCACACTGCATACCAGCTCAGACTGGGGAAGCACCATTCCATTCAGAGTTAAAGAACAAAATACCACCTGGGTCTGGATGACAAATCCCGTAGCCACTCCACCTTGCCATGGATGAATAGAAGCTGGTACTTCCTCATCCAGACTCTTACAGCCTTCAGGCATTCTGTCAGCACCACCACAGCATCATTTGTTTGGTTGGGGGGGGGGAGATAAATCAGAATGATTCCCTTATTCAGGTAACCACAAAGGACTTCAATTATGAGACTACAGTTGTAGGTGTTAGCAAAAAGTATGTTTAAGAATCTCACTGTCACTATATGTAGCCCGTCTCATAAGATTTTTCTATTTCTTTAAAATTGAGTCCTCGTATCTCCCTTTTTCTCCAAATTAAAAATGCTAGTTTCACTCTGGAGAGCATATCGTTGAACATTAGGTGTAGCAAAATGATGGGTCATATTTAAGGGGCAAACATCATTGGTAGTGAAATAGATTTAAGGTTAGATTCATGATACAGATTAGAAATAGATCTATTTGCATAGTTACCTTTACAAATAGAAGAAGTGGGGTAAAGAATTGGGTAGAAATACAGGTAGTCCTCAACTTAACGACCACAATTGACCCCAACATTTATGTTGCTAAGTGTGAAATTTGTTTAAATGAGTTTTCAAGTCAGATGATTTTCTTCTAACCTCTGGTCTCCATTTACACCAAAAATTCCTAGTACAACAGATGTATTTTGCAAAACGGTAGCCCAGCTTAGAGGCTTCATGATTGCCAGTTCCTGTATGCTGATAATTTAGTATTCTTGTACAGGATAGGGACCGTATAGTACTCAAACCTGTTTCCTAGGTTACAACACTGATAATGGCTTGAACCTTTAGGCCTGCCTTTTCTGCATAAATTAATGATTGTCACTTTTAGTCAAGTTCCTTTCCTTCACTGCTAAATCTTACTCCAGAACTTGAGAAAAAAATCTGTTAATATTAATCCTAAAGTCAAACAAAATTACAACTGATGGGAAAGGGAACCCTCATAGGATTTCAAAACTTTTCTCCTCCAATAAAGCCATTATATAGCAATAGAGGGCAGAATAAAAACACAATTTTAGGATTGTGAATAACACACAGTGCCACTGGATGCAGAGGCTTCAATTTCTGAGGAAAGGTTTTAGAGAGGGTCAGGGCTGCCATCCAGATCTCGGATAAGGATACTCCTGACAGTTTCAACACTGACCAAGGAGACCTTTGTCTTTTACAGCTAGGGGACAAGCCAAGAGACAGCTCTCTAGTGGAGTCTTTTTTTTCCAGTAGCCCCAAATGGAAAGCAAAGTCTCCTTCCAAATGAGCTTGATTATGTGTAACTTCACTAGAGACACTTCCATGAAACTTTCTTTTTCGTCGTTGTTCAGGGTTGTCGCTCTTCCAATCTAGTCTGCAACTCTTACCTCTCCAGATAGTCCTTGTATACAGGTAGTCCTTGACTCCCAACAATTCATTTAGTGACCAAAGTTACAGTGGCACTGAAAAACGTTTTTCAGAGTTACGATCATCGCAGCATCCCCATGATCATGTGATCAAAATTCAGATGCTTGGCAACGGGTTCATATTTTTGACCGTTGCTGTGACCCAAGGTTATGTGATCCCCTTTTGCGACAAGCAAAGTCAACGGGGAAAGCCAGATTCACTTAACAACCGGATTGCTAACTTATCAACTGCAACGATTCACTTGACAATTGTGGCAAGAAAGGTCGTACAATGGCGACAAACTCACTTAACAGGTCTCACTTAATTTTGGGCTGAATTTTGGTCGTAATTCGAGGAGTACCTGTACTACTCTGTGGCCGATGTAACTGTCCACCTCAGTCAAGCTGGGCCAGCTGCTGCCACTGAGCTCACATAATAATAATAATAATAATAATTAATAATAATAATAATAATAATAATAATAATAATAATAATAATAATAATAANTGGTTAATTGTTCTAACTGTCAGGAAGTTTCTCCTTAGTTCTAGGTTGCTTCTCTCCTTGATCAGTTTCCATCCGTTGCTTCTCGTCCTGCCTTCAGGCGCTTTGGAGAATAGCTTGACTCCCTCTTCTTTGTGGCAGTGCCTTACTGAAGTCCAAGGAAACCTCCGCCTGCCAAGCGCTGAGTAAGCGGCACAGGAGGCCCCAGCCGAAAAATTAAAACAAAAATGCATTTATTCTTCATTCCCCGGATACCAGCGCTAACTCTCGCCACAGCTGCCCCTCTTTCTACTTCGAGAAGCGGCCCAGACAAGAGCGAAATCAAAACGCCGCCGCTTCCCCCCGCCTCTAACGTCACTGGGGAAACGCTCCTCCCCTTCCCGAGCGGAACAAGATGGCGGCCGCTCTGCCGGCCCGTCATGCTCCGCGGGAGGCCGGCTCATCTTCCGTGTGTGTGTCTATGTGGGAAAGAGGGCGAGAGCCTCCCTGGGGCCGGAGGAGGAAGGCGGACGTCGGCTGATGTGAGCGCGAAGGAAGGAAGGAAGGAGAAGGAGTTCTGCCGCCGCCCGGGGACCATGCAGCCTCAGTCCCGTCGCTCCGGTCGGCGGCTGCTTCCCGCTTGGTTCTCGCTGCTGCTGCTACTAGCGCTCGGGGTTTCCGCCCTGCGACCCCGGGACGGGCATCGGGAGCCACGACTCGGTGAGTGCTTGGGGAAAAGGCGGGGGCGCAGGAGAGCTTGCCTCGCTGCCCCCCCCCCCCCGCCCGACAGAAACCCGAGAAACCGAGCGATCCTCCCGCTTGGCCAACTGCTGGGCTGTTTCCTCCCGTCGGGGTGGCGCAAACCGGGACGGATCCCTGGCTGGAGCCGAGCGGGCTCTCCGGGAGGCTTCCTCGCCGCTTGAAGCCCCCGTGCAGGGTGCCGAGTAATGGGTGGTGGTGGGGGGGGCAAAGCATTGGCCGTCGCGGAGAGTTTCTGGAAAGGAGCCTGTTGAGGAGCTGAACTGTTTCTCCATCCGGGAAAGGCCGGGCAAAGCCTGCAGTGTGAACGCTTTGCGCCACTTAGCGGGACTGCGGGATTTGCCGGAGGTTGCCTGGGAAGAAACGTTTCTT